ATGTTTTACTTTTTGACTTCTTCTTGAAAACTACAAGCCTGAATGCTTTGATACTTGGTGTATATGTACCTTGGGTAGACCTTTCTCAGATTTGTTCATTTCATGATCATATTTTCAATTCTCTAATTTTGGTGAATATTTTTGTCATTTTTTGTAAAAAGTGATATTTTCAACTTCTTGTTGAAAACCGCAAGTCCAATTGCTTTGATATTACATATATAGGAACTAAATGTGGATCTCTCTCAGATTTGTTTATTTTGTAATGATATCTTTAGTTCTCTAATTTTGGTGAATATTTTTGTCATTTTTGGTAAAAAGTGATATTTTCGACTTCTTGTTAAAAAACGTATGTCCAATTGCTTTGATATTACATATATAGGAACTACATGTGGACCTCTCTCAGGTTTGTTCATTTTGAAATGATATCTTTAATTCTCTAATTTTGGTGAATATTTTTGTCATTTTTGGTAAAAAGTGATATTTTCGACTTCTTGTTAAAAACCACAAGTCCAATTGCTTTGATATTATTACATATATAGGTACTACATGTGGACCTCTCTCAGATTTGTTCATTTTGTAATGATATCTTTAATTATCTAATTTTGGTGAATATTTTTGTCATTTTTGGTAAAAAGTGATATTTTCTTTTTGTTAAAAACCACAATCATTTATGGTGAAAAATTATATTTTTGAAACAGCAAGTCCCATTGCATTGATACTATGCATATTGTTCATTTTCTAATGATATCTTCTGTTCTTTAATTGAAATGTGCATTGCTAACTGCGGAGCTATCTCAGCTGAGAGGCTACTTGTTTTAATTTATAGTCTCCAGTTGCTCTGGTTTGTAATTATGAAATTAAGTTAAGACTGTGTACGCAGACAAAATATGACAAGATAAACATCCAGCTAACTTTTTTTTATGATATCGAATTTAGCTGACTGGTAGTTATTTTGGTAATATGTTTGCAACTCTGACAACTGTGCCGATTTCTGTTTGCTGGTGCACACTGGTACTTTTTCAAGATTCTTTTCAAGATGGCTCACTGTCTCAAACTTAGCTTTTACGCTTAATCTTGGGGTCTTCCTGAGTGAAGATTTCAAGATGTCAAGACACTTAACTCACTGACAGGGACTATGTCATTTATTTACCTTGATTTGTTTTAAAAAGGTCTGAATTACCGGTAGAATATATTTCGATTTAAACATGATCATGTTTAAATGCAATAATCCACCAACTATACCAACACTTACAGATTGCATCCTGTTCCTAATCACATTGACTGTTCTGTCTAAAGATGAATCACCAGTGCTGAAGTGATTCGTTATATCACTTTCTTTGCGATCATCGGTACTATGTTTTCTTTTCAGGAGAGCATGAGTCTGTCTGGGAACAAATCTTGGTTTTGTAACCATCATTGGTCTTGCATGCACTGCTGCCTCACCCGACTGCAGTCGGTCTGCACTACAATTGGTTGAGGTTGCAGTATTTATTACTTCAGCCTGAGAACCTGAATAATCTATGCTAGGTTGATTCCTATTGGTCCTTGAGGCATCTTGTACACCGGCCGCATGTCCAGCATATGAGCATTGTGTATCAGAGTTTGTTCTTGCCCCTGAAGGGAGCAGTGCGCCAACAAATTCCGCTTCCTGTTGTCTTGGTTCTAAAAATGGTGTAAAATTTGCAGGCAGTGTAGCATTTGCTGATGGTACTCTGGCATGATCGAAACTGCTTCTAGTAGGTATAGGGCGTCTTTTCCAATAAGGTTGTTCCTTTGGTGGAGCTGGTAGGTCAGGATACTGGTGTGTACCTAAATCTGGTGCTCGTAGATCTGTACACAGACCTGTATTTTCAGGACAGTGATTTGATCTTGAATGTGCTGGCGGTGGTTCTGGATACTGGCCTGTACTTGAATGTGCTGGTGGTAGTTCTGGATACTGGCCTGTACTTGAATGTGCTGGCGGTAGTTCTGGATACTGGCCTGTACTTGAATGTGCTGGTTGCAGTTCTGGATACTGGCATGTATGTGTATGTGTCACTGATTGGTTAAAAAGCTGACCAGGCAGACAATCAGACTGTAACATTTTCTTATTTTCTGTGTCTAATGTTGTTGTGGTGTTAGTTGCATCTAGATGTGGAGTCCTTGACAACTGCTGCCCATCAGACTTGACTTCATTGATGGAACCTTAGAACAAAATAAGAAAACAATTGTCAGCTAGTATACAAATAATACCGTACTTGTTCTATTAGTAGCTAATCATATACAGAGGTGTTTGTATGGTCAAAATAAGTAATAATTTATGGTTCAGTATACAACATTTTTAGTTGAAATGCACTTTTATTGGAGTTGAGCAAATATGTCAAAGTAGTGACATAAGACACACAAGCCATACCTTGCTTCCTGGTTTTCCGTGCAATCACTCTACTTCTCTCATGTAACTTGTCCCTGGTGTCTTGAATCGTCTCGTACTCTGGAGCATAGCAAACATGAAGGATACCACCAAAGAATGGCTTGTCATCTAACTTTCGTTTGGCAAATCTAGACAAAAATGAAAACATACAGAACTGAATATTGGTTTTACAATAATGTGCAGTAACTGTGTAAATTTGATTTGCATTGATGACATGATTAATCAGTGTCACATGATACCTTTGTCAGAGTATGTCGTCAAATCTGCCATTTTTTTTTTCCATAATTAGCAGCTAGGCAGGTTACAGACACAAAAATGATCCTTCAAATCACACCATGGCTTAGCAGGCAAAGCAGGATCCAAGGGTAGCAAACATGTAAATGAAAACATGACCCACTCCCAAAGTGGGAGCCCAGGGCTTAATTTCAAGCCATACATGAATTCAAATATGTTTTTCAACTTACTGCGTCAGGTCATCATAGAAAGGACAATTTGTGATGGGAGCATACATACCTTGCTGCATTAATTTGTTCATATTTTATCCAGTAAACTTGGGTAAATTCCTCAGCTGGGTAATCTTGTAACATTCTGTACTCATGAATAATGCCATACATTGAACACAACTCTATCAGCTCAGTCTCTAACTTGATTGCTGGCACTCCTTGTATTAGAAGGTACTTGGATTCTTTGTTAACAGTGTACACCTAGCAAGTAAACAAAGACGTAATCAGAAATACTAGTACAGTGTTTGTTGTCTTGCATAGCACGCACAGCGGGCACAATACAATTCAGTATGAAATAGCACAAGTCAAAGATACTTGAAAATAGATATACCGGGACATGTAAAAATAAAATTGATTGTCAATTAACATATTTGGGAATCGTCTGCCAACGTAAGTGTACTAAATCCTAAGATCAGAGTTTTGAGAGGTTGCAAATACTAGTAACTGATGCAAACATTGCTGAAATTTTAGCATCTCTGATTGGCTTATGTTGCACTATGTTACCCCCAAAGAGCTATGCATATAGTAAACACACAGTTTGTTAGCCCTAAATACCAAGGCAACAGATATTCATGCCATTTCTATCCAATATCTCATGACATTCTAAGCTATCATTTTTTCACAACTGACATAGAATGAGAGTAAATTTCTTTTAACTGATATGCTTAATTGGGCCAGGAAGCTGTACAGCTCCCTGATTGGGCGTAACGATGTTATCTCCCAGTTTGTACCATGCCATTTTGAGTCAAAAAGATGATACATATGTATTAGTGAGTATGTATGCAGTCTGTTTGGGTTGGTAAATGTGTCAACAAGTGTCAATGCAATGACAGTAAGTCTTGCCAGCTAAATCTTTTGTTTTACTCCCAGCACACGTATCTACTTGGCCATAACATTATGCAATTTTAACAAATCGCAATCACATTTTCGCAGGTTGAGTGTTTTTAAAATTATGCTAATTTATTCAAGACGTAGCAGTTTCTGTGCTCATGAATATTCATTAATTTATGGGTCAATACATTCTAAAAGGGGCGATATATTATTTTTGGGGGGAAGAGTTAGAAAGGGGGATTAGCATTAGCGTGTCTGTTGTTGTTGCACGTGATTTCAGCTCTCTACTGTATTCGTACTTCAATGACTCCTCAGCTTCGACTGGCTTACATGTGAGGTAGTATTCTTGTGTTCTGTTTTTGCTGATTTGAGTTCTTGTTGCTGTTTATGTTTTTAACATTTAACTTTCATATCTTGTCTTGTAGGAGTGTCCAGTCCGTGATTTGAACTTGCAATCTTTGAGTTCCCATAGCACTGTCTTGTCCACTGTACCATGAGTGTCTTCACACAAGTCATAGGATTTAAGTCCTATTTATAGGAGCACTGTTCTCAATTAGAATTCAAAAATGGTACTAACCGTACTGGATTCGAACCAGCAATCTCTCACATTGCTGGCATTGTACATATCCACTAAACCATGTGGGTAGTCATGCAAATAAATGATTTGTTGTCATATTTCGATCTATTGCAAATTAGTGTTAGTGAGAAAAGACGGGCATACATGGGAATTGAACCCAGGTTGTCCTTATCACGATGTAGACAATTGACCCACAAGACCACAATGAATTGACTGGTAGTGTTTGCATTTGATGAGACTATATAGTGTGTATATAATATTACAATCGTCCAAAAACTTGACAATTTTGTGTTTTTACTTGTGTAAACTATATGCATGCCATAACCTGTTAGTGTACATCTTGCCAATTGAGTGTTTGCCATTTTCGTTGCCCATACATGACCCGACCCTAACCCTAATGCCAAGACATGTTCCTGTTAATAATTCCGTTGCCCATACCTGACCTGACCCTAACCCTAATGCCAAGACACGTTCCTGTTAATAATTCAGTTGCCCATACCTGACCCGACCCTTA